GCTGAACGATATATACACGTTTTGGATCATATATGCTGCACCCTGATTTTGTCATCCAGACAACGTCTTTTTCAGAGAAAGCCTTGCTTATTTCAGAGTCCAGGTGCTAAACTAGCCTACCTGCAGTCCAGACTTGTCACTCGTTTGAAAACATTTGGTTTTGAAATCCTACATCAAGCAAGAAGAGAAGAACAACTCACTTTTAAACTGCAGCAACTCATCCTCTCAGTTCCCAAATGCTTAGAGTGTTGTTAAAAGAAGAGGTGAGGCCACACAGTGATAACTATGCCCCTGCCCAACTTCTTTGAAACATGCTGCTGGCATCAAAATCAAAATGGGCATATATGTTTTAAAACAATACATTTTTTCAGTTTCAACATTTGATATGTTGTCTTCTAAACCTGTTCTATAGAATTTAACTGATTTGCACATCATTGCATTGCTTTAATTTACATTTTGCACAGTGTCCCAACTTTTCTGCAACACTTTCCAACTCTGTCATGTCAATGTCAAAGAAATGAAAAAACGTGGCAGAAAACTAAAGAAAGATCTTATAAAATTGTGGTATGGATAGAACGGTTAGAATCTGCTTTCTTTGTCAGAATTCTCAGTTTGTTTCAATTTCAAGTTACAAATGAGAAATAATATCAAATTACACCCTGATTTTGTCATCATTGTCCATAAACTGCACCTTCTAAGTGTTAATATTTGGACTCTAGCTTTGCTTCTCTTCAGCCAGGATGTTAGAGGTGGGCTGACGTCTGCTAGTTTTTCTGGTAAATGTGTGTGGCAGGCCTGTGGGTAAAGTCACATCTAGACGTGATAACATGCCTTCTACAGAAAGTTCCTGTTCCATGTTGTTTCAGAAAATGTGTCACAAACACAAGCTGTTTTCACAATGTACCACAGCAGTGGTGTCATAGTGTGGCTTCCAGCTTCAACAAGAGCTTTGTGTGCAGAGCTACTAAGTGGCTCAGAAGAAGACATTAGATTTGTTAGAGTAATTCTAGAAAAAAAAGACATTACCCAAAGACACTTTCCATTGCAAAATGATCTTTCAAGTAAATCTAATTTATATCACTGCTAGCATTTACATTAATGCTAGCGATCACAGAAGAAATTCTTTATAGTGGCATAGACAACCCAGCCCAGTTAACCATGTGAATGTAAATGACAGAAGAACACAGATGGAGGGGTTAAACAAACCACTGTCCAGGCACTGCCGATCATAAATAAACAGTTATCTGTTTGGTTTTAATGTGACAAGCACTTGCTGCATGTGTGAATGCTGTATGTCTACATAGGGCAAAGTGTATTTGTTTAGCTAAAAGCACTGCTGGTCATTAGTTGGAGATGGTTTTTATACAACTCGCTCTTTAACTCATCCACAAGCTAGTTTTCGCTTAGATAGCTTGGTACTGTAGAGATGATGGTGAAGAATGAAGCAGCAGATGCTACAACAGCAAAACAAAGTTCTTTAGCTGTAAAAATAAATGGCACGTAGGCTGAACTGAACTTGAACTTGCAAAACAATTGGCCTTTTTTTCTCAGTGACAAACCCTTGATCGCCCCAAATAATCCCACAACTCAGATAAATTATCAGCCGTGTGTAGACATTGAAACAATAGCTGTGGCTTTAATTCATTTTCATTTTAATAAGCTAATACTCTGGGGGAAAATCTATTTATTATTGTTTTTGCTTTCTGTGTTGTAATGTGTGTTTTGTTTTTAGTTCTTTAGATGCAGGAAAGTGTTTTACATTGGAAGTAATGACATTTCTAACTGCATATAAGTGACAGACACTGTGACAACATGCTTTTTTTTTTTCTTTTTTATTTGAATTGTTTGGAGAATCAATGATGATACGGCTGTACACATATAACCAACAACCACAGTCAATGCTCACCCTGCTGTCTCTGCTCTCTTTTGCTGGGCAAACTTTATGCAAATGAACTGAGCATCAACCAATTGTATTGTTGAAGGAGGCGCATAATCCATTGCAACATGCCCAGAACGATATGCGCAAGATGCACATCCAAAGCAACCAACAGTTGGTGGCAGTCCCATCAGCACCCCATGCTTCCTACATCCCTGTTTAGTTTATTATTAGAATATCAGCACTTTTAGTTCATTATCATAAGTCTTAAAGTTGAGTCACTGAATCGAGTATTTGTTTCTGAATTGAATCAAAAACCAGTGAATTGTGAATCGAATCAATTCACTGTCAGCTCAGCAGGGGCAGGGGGTACAGCTGCGTATGTATGTATGTAAAAGAAAGAGGCAGACAGACACGCAGTGGTGACTGCATTGTAAGTATTTTCTGGACTGTAAGTGTTTTCTAGATTGAGGCTCGGCTGTATAGCTCTGATTGTTCACTGCTGGAAAAAAAACAAAGCGAGCATGTGTTGGTGTGATGAATGCCAGAGGATGATTCTGCCTTAAACGACAAAAAGCTGGCCAATTGTGTCAGAGTGCCAGGCCGTGCTTTTCCCCAGTGGCAGCTCACGGTCATCACACAACTGCCCTACTTTCACTGTGTGTCTCCCCAGTTGTGCAAGTGGAGTTTAGGACCAGCACTGTCAGGGCTGTACAAACCCAGCACTACATAAACTCATTGTTTGTCATGGAGAAATGACCTATCCATGCTACAAATGCACTTTTTTTTTGTAACTGTTTCTAGGTTGGACCACAGAATGTGGTTAAAATCCCATTCAAACTAGTGCAAATATTTCAAACATAATTTGAAACTGTCAAGTCAAATTTATTTATATAGCACCTTTTACAACAGGTGTTGTCACAAAGCAGCTTTACAGAGAATCCGGGCCCACGCCCCCACTGAGCAAGCCTTGGCGACAGTGGCAAGGAAAAACTCCCTCAACAGGAGGAAGAAAGGAGAGGAACCAGACTCAAAAGGGGAACCCATCCTCCTCGACACCAGATAACAGCACAGACACAAAACAGTATAAGTGGAACTGCAAACAATATGGCACATAATTTGTGGTCTTAGTACTTTTCAGGTTTTTCTTGAACCATGCACATATCTTTACAAGGGAGGCTTTAATCCGGTTATAACTTTATCAATAAGGCAGTAGGCTCTTGTTGTCACTTTCTGTGAAAGAACCACCATATTTATTCATACACATCCATTCATATTTCAAACAGTGAGTTGCTTTAGCCTAAAGATCAATTTTACAGCATCATTCATTTCAAAAGATATTCCTTTTGTATGCATGTGAGCTGCTAGGGGCGATCCCACTTCTGACACCACTGTGACATTGAGGAGGTGAAATTTATGTGTCCTGTAATCAAGATAACATTAGCATGGTGGTGAATTCTTTACATTTAGTTTTATTGTTTGCAGTAAGTTTGGAAAGCACAGACTGGAAACTCAATGTTATGTAGTTGTGAACAAAAACTGTAGTGTATCTTTTGCCAAACCTGAGATGTGTGTTATAATTTGCCAACATTCTATGATACTTTTTCAAACAACAACAATTGTATGAAAGAACATATTAGGTGACAGTATACACAGAATTAAATGAGTTTTTTCAAGAAGATTCAACCAGTATGTGTTACATCTAATTGGTGTAGAACTTTTAATTCTACATTTACAGCTTACACTAACATGTTTACAGCTCAGTGCTGAGCGGTTAACACAATGAAGATAATTCCTTGCATCATTTCGTTATTGATTAGTTAACAGCATCACTCCACTGAGAGAAGGGAAAATAAAACATTTGGCAAAAATGAAAAGTTTGTGTGAAGGTAAATGTACGCCTATAGACAAATATACATGATAAAAGTCTTCTGAAGGATGCAAGCAACTATCTTGAAAATTATAAATATAAAAATTAAACTAATTGACTAATTAAATTAGTCAATTAAATTACTTGCTTAATAAGGCAGTAATTGTAATTCATTGGTTGAGTCTAGTTGTTTGACTGAATTAATTTTATGTTGAGTCTCAAAGTCTGTATTTGTAGACGCTGATCCATTTAGTGACAATGTGTGTCATAATTAAATTAAGTTCATACAGTGGTTTATTGTTTTGAGTGCGCATTCCCAGCTCACTTACATTCTCTCTTGTCGGAAATGCAGCCTCTCACCTGTTCTGAGCTCGGCTCACTGCTATTTTAAGGCTTCATTATTTCTCTGCCTTTGTTCTGAGCAGCACTGAGGAAGTACTTGGCTCCTCATTGGGCTAATTGAGTACTCTAAAATTGAAATCAGGCTTTTGTGTGGGTTTCCTTTCATCTGCACACGCACACCAACAACATGAACAACCTGCTAGAGTGTTGGGTATAATTTAGTGTTGAAAGTTTGCATTTAACCATTTGTAACCATTGAGTTATTGTTATTTTGCTCGTATTTTCAGTTATATTTGTGTAATTACACAGTTAGTTACATAGTTAATTACATAATGGATTACATTTACATTCTGAATTAAGAGGTTTGAGGAGAGAGAGGAGATATTTTATTATAATTTGAATTTCCTGAAAAAAAGTTAGTGTGCTGTCTAGTATTGCAGAAAAAACTTGTTTGCATGAGTAGAGGGGGGTCACTAGTATGGTGACAGGCTTTAGCACTGCTGTGCCTGATGAACTCCATTCTAGTCTGTTCTCTGTGTTGAGACGAATGGGAGAAATGTAAATTTTAAACTGGGTTTATTTTTTTATTTTTTTAATGAAGACTAAATTGGCTTGATTCATTAATATTTTACAAAAACTATGCATAGAAAAACATACTATTTTGCCACATTTGTCATTTATTTATTTTTATTTGTACTGAAAGTGTGTAAACTCCATTGTCTAACTAACTATAAGTAAATATGTAATTACACATTTGCACTCAAAAAAGTATGGTAAAATGTTTGTAATGACTTCCAGGGGTTATTAAAACTTTCCAAGACTTTATTAATTTCTACCAAAACATTCAATTTTTTTGTTTGGTGTCCACATTACAGAAAGATAAACTGTTCTGTGTGTGTGTGTGTGTTATAGCTGAGATCCCCAGGATGTGTGAGGTGGACGTGTCATCAGAGCCCACCAGCCCCACTCTGTACGGAGAGTCATCGGACAAGTACTATCATGTTGACCGCTGGCAGAAGCTGCGCACGGCTGTAAGAAAGCTGGAATTCTGGGAAAACTTTAGCCATGAGCTGATTGGCAGCGGATTCTTCTCCAAAGTGTACAAGGTAAAGGCCGTACTGTGTGTGTCTTCATAGTAAAATACACAGCTTGTGCTGCTGTGAAGTAGCTTTTCAAGCCAGCCTAGAGTTTAATATGTTATTTATAATGTTATGGATCATTACATCCCTTTTAACACCGCAATAAAAGCCCAGTCCCAAATGGCGCACTAGTGGTCTTGGAGTACACAACTGCACAGGCATATGTGGACCACCAGGCTGTAGGATGTATCAGTTCTCAAAATGGGTGCTCGGCGGCGTCCTCTACGCACTGTTCCTGAGGCCTTTAGTAAGGACAGCATTGATATGATCTCAGCAACAACCGGTGGACGGTGTTGTTTACAGCTGTCTGACCAACATGGCTTAGAGGAAAATATTCAGATGTGACTAAAAGTGTATTTGTTTATTAATAAAACTTGTCATTGAGTTGCATCAGGCTTGTAATTTGAATGGAACCACTGTAGATAAGTAAATTAGCTCTTTAAAAAAGAAAAAACAAACAAGTATGACAGACACGCTGTGTGAGACACATGCAGAGCCGGCATGTGGCACGAGTCTGTCCCAAATGTTTAAACCAAGCATACTTGAAGTTTCTTGCCCTGTAGGTTTGAATGTTGTTGACATGACCAAAGTATGGACTTTGAGGAGGTCCACAGGTCTTAGGACACCATTTGGGACTGGGATTTGACTGCTAGCATAGCCACTGTTTGCTACCTGCCATCCTTCTGCAGTAGCCAACAAGCAGAATCCAACAAACAATGATAAACATATCTCTGCCCTCAAGTAGCTGCTCCAAAGCACCTGTAGATTTTCAAAAGCTCCTCCCACCTTCAAGATACATCATCTTTCCAAGTCTTTGAATCTGAAAATCTCACGCTAGAGATGCGGCAGCACAGTAGGAGGCGAGTAAGCATGTTTCCAACAGAAGTAGTAGACGTAGCGATGGCTCTGTTTTTCATTTTGCCCAACTGTCCCTTTAACATCCTCTCTCTCTGATTTCCATTTCAGAATTTTGCCTCTCAGCCAGCCCACACACACACTCATGAAACTTATTATAACCATTTGCTATCCAAAGTGTTTCCTTGTGACAACTATAACATCTATGAATATATTGAATTTGGTTTTATATTCGGCTTATAATCTAATAATAAAACAATACTCTATGCTCTAAAAGTATTAGTTTACAATTCCAGGAAAATATGAAATGTCTTGGTTTGGATCTACATCACATGGAAACTTTTTTGTTCCGGCTTGTAATTTTCTGTGGCTTTATTTTCATCAAGCATGATATCATAGCATGACTCAGCCAGTGGGTGTTTGTGGGTATGGAATTGTGTGTGTGTGTGTGTGTGTGTGTGCGCACACACACTCTGATACTACCCAACAGTGTGTGCTTTGTGTTCTCACTAATTAGGACATATTTGTCATAGCAGGGTCAGTATGAGGCGGCCCTGTGACTGTAATCTGGTTTACTGAGGGGTTCCTGCTGGTGCCCCCTGCTGCAAAGATTACATAACCCTGTAACCCCTCTCTTCTCCATCTGAGCACCATCTGAGGTTTTTTTCTTTTCGGTGAGATTAGCCACTCGTACTTCAGGATTACTGTGCATTTGTTAACCCTTAGATGCCACAGTTAGAGCAGTTGATTCCAAAGAATGACATCATTGGATATGAGTTATTTCTCTCCTCATAGCTCATTGAAACAAGCAGAGAATTTCTGTGTGCAGCATCTGAAAATTGAAACCGGTTTTGTGTTTGAAGAGGAGGAGATATTTTATTATGATTTCAATTTGATGAATTGTTATGTGGGAAGAAAAACACCTGCTTTTATATTTTTGTCATGTTCTTGCCATTGTTTATCATGTGTAGAACCTAGTCCATTAGTACAGCATGTAAGTCAAATATAAATGAAATTCATGAATTCATTATGTAACCCACTATGTAATCAGATGGCGTCGCTGTGCACGCATGTCCATTTTTTCCAGTTTAGATTTTTCTGCATCATTTGAGCTCAGCAACTGTCCTTTACAAAATTTCATAACAGATAGACCAACAGAAGTGCTCAGACATGACTTGGAATAAAACGTATTTACATTAACTTACAATAATAGTTAAATAGATAAGAATGCGTTTGCCTTTTCCTATAAAGTTACCATTGTGGAGATGTTCCTGTAAAGTTACCATTTTAAAAAGATACTGGAGATATAGTGACAATATGCAAATACATTTGAATAATTTAAGGAAATCACTGTAATAATGCCTGAATTCTAAAGGTTATCATCAATGAACTACTATAAAATAGTCAGCAGAGTAAGAAATGAGCATGTTAAGTAGCCAGGAATGAAAGTGAGCACCCCCACATTGGCTATTAGAGTTGAGAGTGGGTGTGATTGGCAGAGGGGTGAAGGGGTGAGTTGGTGAGAGAGAGAGAGAGAGAGAGAGAGAGAGAGAGAGAGAGAGAGAGAGAGAGAGAGAGAGAAGAGCGCAAAAAAGAGGAGTAAGACACTTCTTAATATGACATTTCTGTACAATTTGGAATTCATTATTTCATATGTGTGTGCTTTTTTGTGTGTCATGTCTTTCAGGTGATGCACAACAACACGCGTAAGGTGATGGTGGTGAAGATTTATAAGAATGATGTTGACCAGGACAGCATCGTGAGGGAGATCAGCCTCTTACAGAAACTTTCTCACCCCAATATAGTGAGGTACCTTCTCTCTGTGCCAATAACACCACTAACTAAAGACCTCACTGCTTATGCTCTATATTAGTTATTGAATATACAGCATTTTCAAAAGGCCAATTGATAAAACCCTTAAAAAGATATTCCAAAATCTGTTTTTGGTGGAGACTCTCAAGGGGAACTAGAGCTTTCCATATTGCTGCTGCTACTGTTAGTTTGCTGCTTGTTGATTTATTCATAGGCCCCTGTGAGCACTTTTCAGCGTAGTCTGCTGAAGGTGCTAAAGATATTACTTTAAAAGCTGCATTTGAACAAAAGGTCTATAAACACAGATTCTACTAAAGCAAGATACAGCACACGAGCAGCTGGGCTTCAGTCTGGACTACTGTTCTTGTTCTTACTAACTTGTTCTTATGGTGTTAGTGTTATTAATGCATTATAAACAAACTATTACAGCATTACTTTTGACAGTTGTTAGAAAAAACTAAAATTATGCGGTAGAACACACATAAATGGATATGTCCTTCAGACTCTGTTTCTTACTGCAAAATATTTTGACAGCATTCATTTGCCAAGAATTGCTAAAAAAAAACGCTTAACATTCTAGGCTTATTACATACTACGGCTTATTATACATTAACTACAGTGACTTCAATGCAAACTAATGGAGCTTTTCTTAGGTTATAGAAGTGTGTAATAAAACTCTGGACTTGCCGGCAAGCCCATGGCTTGATAACAGGTTAATGAATTTTATTAGTATTAGTGATAGCCATAATCAAAAGAACTTATCTTCATCCGAGCTGTCTGGGATGTTTCAACTGCATTAGGCATGGCAACAAGTTCTGTTTTCTGTTGCTGGCTAGTTAAGATCATAATTAAAACACAATTTAGAAGGACAAATGATGTCTTTCCACATAATGCTGATTTCATTGCCTTGGAGTTATTGATACATGTGAACAAACATGGGCTTGTGACGTCCACCCATGCTGGTGGAGAGTCTGAGGCAGCGTGACATGTTATTTGTCTAACCAATCTCAATGTGGTCTGTTCCATTGCGTTACGAAAGGACAAAGCGCTTATCAAAGCACCCTGTGCGTAAAAAGACACAGATATAAGCTATCACAGCTCTAGAGTTACCTGGCACCAGCCGCCCCTGCTATGCTAGTCACAAAGACTATCAGGCAGTTGCATTTTTAAAAAGTCACACTGCTTTGGAAAATGCTTACATTCTGCTGTCACTCATTCTTTATGACATAACCTCAGTAATAGGAACAGTACATTCTCAAACCAGAGGAAAGGAAACAGAAGAGAGTTTATACTTTTCAGAAAGTGAAAAACACATGGAGGATGAAGCAAGAGGACAATAGTCAAAGCAGATGTTTTAATAAAGTAAAGGAGGTTTAAAATGTGACATTCAGCTTGAAGTACATTCAGTGGGGTCCAAAAGTCTGAGACCACATTCAAAATCTGGGAGTTTTTTCATTTAAACTTGGAAATAAACTACAGAGCATTTTAGAATTTTTAAATATTTAAAACTAAAAAAGTTATGATATAGAAAGAAGAAGAAATGTTCAAGATTTTACCCTATTTTTCAGTCACTGTTTACATTAAAGCAAATTTGTGACGCTGACCGTATTGAGGCCTTTGTACAAAAAGGTCACATTTTTTTGAAGTCTTCTATCTTCCATTGAAGCTTGTGTTTGTGCTCTCAGATGGATTTGATCTGCTGATCAGAGGCTTTTGGACTTGTGTGGACTTGTGGACTTGCTAGCTCGAGTGCACATTGTCATTAAAGCAAAAGAAAGACATATCAAATACTAGGAAATTCTAAAATTCATGTTAAAATTTCAGATTTTCTACTTTCTCTCAAATGTTTATGCTGATAATTTCATTTGTAATGAAAATCTTTCTGTTGGATTAGATAGGGATGCAAAACAGAAGCACTTTCACTAGTGGTCTTTTGGACCCCACTGTATATTGCTAAAAGTATATGCAGTCTCTTTAAAAGGGGAATCACTTACACTAATACATGTATTTTTTATGTACAATAATAACTTAAAGGTTATATCAAGTATGATTTGACCCTTGACTATTAAAGCTAAGCCTCTACTTCTGGTCATTAATGTTAAAGCTTGGTCAGAAACGATACTATATTGATGCTAATTTCTACCAGCACCCCTTTACGATTCTCATAGAATGTTAGCACTAAGCTAATGGCAATTTACATGAACATATTCTGTTCTAGATTAAACATGGAAGCACGATGAGTCTATTAAATAAAAATTAAAATTATAGTTCAATTTAATTTTTATTTCACAGAAATCATTAGACCATCTCTGAAGGCCTAGAAGGCCTAGAACGGTTCCCATCTGGATTTAAATATTGGAGAAAATGTAGATTCAAATATTATACTACTAGATGTCAAAAGGTATTTTAGATATTTTACTTTATAATTCCTGGATTTTTAGAACAAGAATGATAATAATATATATAATTATTTACCAATGTTTTTGTCAAGTTACCATCCTTGAGATCTGATCTCAACTTTTCAAGTGCAAATGTTACTGTTAATTTTATTATAACTTCATTTTTAATGTTGTAGAGCTTTCGGACTCACTTGAGAATCACCTTTAATTCGTAACATGTAATGTAACATGTAATATTTCTTTAACAGCATCCTTCAAATTATTGGAAACTTGTGAAGTTGCACAGAACTAGCATAGCATTGAATCATTTTACACCTGCATCTACACTCTTAAAAAAAAGGGTTCTTTAGTAAAGACAATGGTTCTCTATAGAACCATGAACACTCACAGAACCCTTTGCATGATTGACGGGTCCTTTGCATCACGAATGGGTTCTATCTAGCACCGAAAAAGATTTGACTATTGCTACAAGCCAAAGAACCCTTTTCTGGTACTATATAGGACCTTTTTTGCTAAGAGTGTACAACAAAACTGGTTTAATATTATGGGCAATTCTAAGTTAATTGAATTGAATTCCAAGTCAATAATTCCAATTACGATGGTGATTCTATAACTAGGCTGGTCACATTTGTTCCATAATCGCTTAATCATATTTAAGATGCTTGATTGCAATATTGCAATATTTAAGCTGACTGCAGTCATTTTCCACAGTTATTAGATTTCACACTCATATTATGCTGCAACAAACAAAATGAAAAACATTTTAGCTTCTAACCTGATGCTCAAACATGTTTAGAGGGCAGCTGAGTAGTTTGTTTCTGGGTTAGCTATGTAGTTATTTCTAATGTTTTTAGAATGTATGCTAGCAGAATTATTTTTATTTTTGCTTATATTTTCACTCGTGTGAAGAACATGTCGCTTTGTTTAACTCCACACATAATTCTGCATTAACTGTAGACATTTGTGTGGTTATGCACAGTACTGATTTGTATAGTACTGATTGGACAGTACAACCAGTATTAGCTATTAAGTAAACATAGCTAGCAAGTAAGGTGGTTAATCAGTCAGTTTGGCCACTTTCAGCTTGTATTTTAATATTTTCAAACAATTAAAGATGACTGAATCATTAATCCTACTTATGTAAATGACAATTAATCAGCAGCTAAAATGTCATGATTGTAGCAGCCCTAGTTATTAAAAAATCTCATTTATATCAGTAGCCGAGTTGATGTAGGCCACACCTGACCTGCTCTCCTCTCTCATCATTGTTTCAGGTATCTGGGGATCTGTGTGAAAGAGGACAAGCTATATCCGATTCTGGAGGTGAGATTCATTTCTCTCTATTTTCTCTTTGTTGTCTTAGTGTCGACAGCTGTATTCATAGCACAAGGCTGTGTATTATTGCTATTCTACCCTCAAACAATGCACTGAAACCAGTGATATTCATTATATGTATTATATATTCAACGTCTCTCTCTTGTAGAAGCAGATTTCACCCTTAAAAGTTAATCACTTTGTAGTTAAGTCATTGTAATTAGTAATCATTTCTCTGTCTATTTGTTAATATGTCTCACTCTCTCTCTCTAGTATGTCAGCGGTGGCTGTCTGGAGGAGTTGTTGGCTAGGAAAGATGTTCCTCTTTGCTGGAGAGAGAAAGTGGACCTGGCCTCAGACATCACACGAGGAATGATCTACCTGCATTACAAAAACATCTACCACAGAGACCTCAACTCCAAGGCAAGCTCCAGCACCAGCTTCTTCCCACCAGCACCAACATGCTCTTTTGTTTAAGTCTAAGTAACAGCAGATAATCGGATAATTTTAGTTTGTCACACGTTACATGGTATTCCATAGAGCAGCCGTCAGATTGGAGAGAGCATGTCCATATCTGGCCTTTCTCAGTGCACAGCAGTAGCCATGGGACGAGACACATGAGTGTGAGAAGGTCATTAGTTGCCAGGATTCTCTAAAGTGCTCACCAAACCTGCAGTGATAGGGAGGAGAGCTGAAGCAACAAGGCCAGCCCATTCTGATGCTAATACGCTACTCCCACTCTCAGACACACTTACACAAACACGACTGTTCCCACATCTTCTAAAAATGCATAATGCATGCTGCGTGTATAGGTCACCCACCCCCTCTTTTCATGTTTACTCTGCCCTTGTTTGGGATCGGAGGCCCATTTGTCAGCCGTTTAGATATGAACAATGGGCCATGAGGATTACTGACCACACAGCTCACACAGCGCCGTGCCGTTCACCACAGATTTCCACCATCATGAAGAGGGGTGTTTCACAAATGTCTGTGCTGCTACATCAAGTTGCATCAAAAAAGGTTGAGGTTTCTCTGACTTGTCATTAACCACACAAACCCAATGCCGATACCGCGATACCAGACCAGAAACACACTTATAATAGAAGCCAGTGGGCAGATGCTGTGGTAACTGGACATTAGCTTTTATTATAGGCTGTTGCTTGCAGTAAATGAAAATAAATTAATTAGCAGTATGATCATAACATGCTAATTGGTGGTTTCCATTCACTGTTAGCCACATTAGCTTTGTTTGGTCAACCTTCTTTTAATAGACTGTCCAGTTCTTTTTTTTCCTTTGTTTGCTTTTTTCTACCAAGCCCAAAGAACCTTAACCATGCTTTACTGAACCCCACCCATTCCCTGCTCAGTACTGTAAGAAACTATTGCAGTCTTTGGCTTAAATGCTGTGTCTAATGCTAAATTTAGCGGTCGTGAGGCTTCTGGGCTGAGACTGGAGTGTTCCCCAGATACTCATATAATCAGAAGCCACTGCGTGCGGAGATGGAGAAACTGCACTTATGGTGGAGCCTTTAATGCAAACCAGATGCTGAGTTCACAGTCTGCTCCATTCATCAGCACTTTTTACCTCAAAAGTCCCACTGGCTCTTATGTAACTGGCCTCAGACATGACTGGAGTTCCCCCCCACCCCCTTACATTAACCACCTCATTACAGTGACATGTCTTTATTCCACATGAGTACATTTCAGGTCATTAAATGTCATTAGGTGTGGTGGGATACTCAAAACCAAAGGTCCCAAAATGAGTTCTCTGGAGTGACAGAAAAACTACTTTGGGTTCCCTAAAGAACCATGTAGTGTGAATGAGATAAGAACCTTTAACGTGATCATGAAGAAGCTTTTAAAAGTTTAAAAGAATTTCCACATAATGTAAATGTTCTATACCAATTCAAAGTTTTGGAAACATTCCTGCTAAGAACCATGTACGAACCATGCCAGAGATTAACTACTTTTGGTTCCTTAAAGAACCTTTCAAACAAATGATTAGTTGTGTCCATGCATTGAAAGTTTCTTTAGAGAGCCATCAATGGTTCTAGGCTCTGCTCTAAAGAACCCATTTTGCTATTTTCGCTTTTAAGCCTCATTACTGGTCTTTGAATCTGAATCAGAAGGTAAATGATGTGTCTAGACATGCTTTTCGTGGACATGGGAAACAGACTTCGATGAAGGCTATTAAGTTGCACTGTGGAGGCTCAGAGGCGCAAGGCGCAAAAACAGAAGAACGATGATCAGTGCAGACCCTTTGGAGTAACACAGTGTCAGACATTAATAATTCATGCAGACAGGAGGGTGATGACGGCAGACCACATTGAACCGGCCTTTTAAAGAGAGTCTGGGACTTCTGCTATGTCCATCAGTGCTGTGCTCTTTTCTTCAGCAAACTCAGCTCTCCTGTTTTTCGCTCATGTACAACTGCGGCTGTCATATGAGTTAGTTAACGGATGTAGGGCTGATTTATTGGACAATTGATCAGGAAATTCACATTGTTTTTTTAACAAAGTTGCATATAATAAGCATGGCTTTCACTGGCTGCATCAGCTAGGGTTTAATGGGTTTCATCAATGGGCTGTCAGTATTGATTAGATTCGTAAGCGAGTAAGCTAATGATTATTTTGCCAATTAATTGAGTAATCTGTTTTTTTTAAAAAGGCCATGCAATAAAAATGGACTTAACTGAACCATGACAAACTATAAGTTTCTGTAATGCAACACAACTGCACAGATGCTGGTGGATGTTGTTAAAAGAAGAGGCTTTACTGTTAGAAACGTGATCCAAGCTCATAGTCAAAAAACATGCACAGGTCAGATCCAAAACAATCCAAAAAGACACAAAGAAAAACATAAAAGTCAGGCAACCAAGATCAAAAGGGCAACAAAAGTCAAAAGAGTCAAAAGTCTGAAATCACAGTCCAGATACACAAAAGGCAAAAACAATATAGAACACTCAGTAGCTTAAGGAAATGAAGCAGCACCTCACGATTTGCTAAGCTAAAAGCCTGGGCTTATATACTAACTCACTAGACTCATGTGACAAGCAAAACAGGTACAACAGAATAGTGTTCAGGTAAGGAAGAGAGTGTTGATTGGTTGTTGCTGGCTGATCAGCAGTCATGTGATCTCCAAGAGAGTTCTGAGAAGTGTAGTTCTCAGATCAAGAGGACTCCGTGACAGTTTTAAAGATTACTGAATACTTTATTGGAAAAAGGTCAACAGCATCAAGGAAACCTTAAAAACACAATAAATAAATACATAAATAAATAAATAGTTTTTCATAAAAATGCACATAAATCAGTGTTCAGGTTCTGTAGGAGACCATCCATCCATCATCTAAACCGTTTATCCTTCTGGGTCGCTGGAGCCTATCCCAGCTGTCATTGGGCGGAAGGCAGGATACACCCTGGACAGGTCGCCAGTCCATCGCAGGACAGACAGACAGACATACACATTCACACCTAGGGGCAATTTAGCATGTCCAATCAGCCTGACTGCATGTTTTTGGACTGTGGGAGGAAACCCACGCAGACACGGGGAGAACATGCAAACTCCACACAGAAATGACCCTGGTCGGGAATCGAACCCAGGCCATTCGTGCTGTGAGGCGACAGTGCTACCCACTGCGCCACTGTGCCGCCCTGTAGGAGACCAACAAGAGAATTTAAAATATAAATATAAACTATCATTCAAATTGCCAAAATTTAGCAATTTTGCAATCGATTAATCTGGTTTAATCAAGTAATCGTGACAGCTCTATGTAAATCAAGATCAGGTGCTGCATGACTCAAGAACGCTGCTGAGGCTGCTTTCCAGTTTTACAGAAGTACACCTCAGATACAACAGTGAGCTCCTATGTTTTTGCACAAACTGTTCTTGATAAACAAAGCTCTTTCTAAAGCTTTGACACAATCATCATGTTTGGGTATGTATGGATGGGTTGAGATGACTGAATTGTAAAGCTGACGGTCTGGGTTACACTGCCCTCTGCTGGCAAAAAAAGTGTATTCAACTGGCAACAAGAAGAATCTTTAGAATGCTCTCCATGGCGAAAGAGTTTATTCATCTAAATTTCTCTGTCAGATTAAAAATAAATACATTTCATAAATCATTGCATGTTGTATTGTAATTTAAGTGTGCCATTTCATTTCAAATCGACATTTTTATTCAAATAGAATAGAGTCGGTATGGACATCGGGCCTCATTCACAAATATCTTCCTAAGTTTTTTCTTATGTTTGCTCTTGTGAAAGGTCCTAAGAAAAAGTCTGTGTCAGATTCAAGACGTGTTCTTAAAGCACAGATGTGTTCACACCTTTGTGCTCTTGAGTGTGTGTGTAGATTCTGTTTTTACCTAAAAACTAATCCCCTCAGGATCTTTGTGAAAACTGCATGGGATTTAAGAAATTTCTTCTTCAGAATGACTGGTGAATGAAGTCCATTTTACCTCAACATACAATGCAATTGCAATTATTGTCAACATATTTTCAATCTATAAGTCAAACAACCCCATTGGTTATTTTTTAGTGTACCTGGTTTCTTTCATCATGAACTAATTTGGGTATAAGTTCAATATAACCATTTTCCCATGTAGTCTTTTAAAAATAATGTATAATTTGGCCTTACATCCTGCACACTGAGACACAGTAGGCTATATAAAGTAATAACCAAATGCATATATTTATGTATTGTTTGTCATTTGCTCTGCTTGTTACAGAACTGTCTGATAAGGGTGACTCCCAGAGGCAGAGAGGCTTTGGTCACAGACTTTGGCTTGGCCAGGGAGGTGGTAGAACTTCCTGTGAAAGACAGGAAGCTTTCACTGGTTGGCTCCGCCTTCTGGATGGCTCCAGAGATGCTGCGCGGAGAGCCTTACGACCGAAAGGTAATGACATCAGTAAAGTACCAGTAAAATACAGCCATCACTTTAACCATGACTTTGCGTTGCACATTTGATGCTGAATATCATTGGCGACTCGCCTTGAATCGCCTCATGTTTCATTTGGCCTGTTCTAGCGTGTTCTTTAGGTGTTGTTTATGGCTGGCTGATTTGGCTCTCTGTGGTATCATTAGGTGGATGTGTTCTCCTTCGGGATCGTATTGTGTGAAATCCTGGCCAGAATCCCAGCAGACCCAGAAATCCTTCCAAGAACTCAGGTAACCAGAGCAATAAGTGCAAAGAATCCATTGTAGCAGCAGCCATTTGAAAATGCTATTTTAATCTGATGTAAAAGGTGTCAAGAACACACTTTGAGAAACAGTAAAAGTAGAGCGCATACATTTTCACGTCAGTGTCTTACAGCATGTTAATGTTCTCTCACTCTGCTCGGTTTAATGCATCTCTGTGTGTTTCAGGACTATGGTTTGGATGTATCAGCATTCAGGAACATGGTTACAGGCTGTCCACAGCGTGTATTGGACCTGGCAGCCAGTTGTTGTTTGGTATGTAGTATATCATCCACCACACCTGATTCAGCTCATTAACTAATTAACAAGCTCTTCATGCGTCGGGTCAAATGTGCAGAGCTCAGGGTCCCCAGGACTAAGATTAAAGATTATAATCCATGAACCATTTAATATTCAGAATTTAACGTCACTTTCTAACAATTTAGCTACAGGAAAGATGTGAACTGTGGTCGTCATGATCACTATAGTGATGTGTTAGGGCTTTAATGCTTCCTAACTGGCCCACCAACCTGATACCAGGCCCCTCCAAAAACAGAGACGAACAAGGTAGGGGTTAAATTGTTCATAACAAACAAACGCAAATGGTAAACCTATATGGTCCAATTGTGTACCTTAAATAAGTTTGTCCAAAGGAAAAAGTGCAGTATTTGTACCTTTTCATAACCTAAATGTTTTAAAACAGAACAATAAAATAAAAAGCCTGGAAACGAGACCGGGTGTGTGGAGCCAATACAACTTAGAAAATATGGTTCAGTTATGTTCCCTGACTAAAGGTACCAAGCTGTACCTTTGAGGCTCCCACCCCAGTGATAAAAGGGGGAACTGCCCCAGTGACAGTTTAGAACATTTCATTCTGAGAGTGTAAGCCCAATAATATGTTAATGAATGCATTTTGTTTGTTGCAGCATAATATGACTGTGAAATCTGACTGCAGTCATCTTAAATAACTGCAGTCATCTCAAATGATTGCGATTAAGCAATTATGTACAAATTATGACAAGCCTAGTTATAGAATCACCATCCAATTAATTGGAATTATTGACTTGGAATTCAGTTCAATTAACTTGAAATTATTACACATAATATTAAACCAGTTTTGTTGTTCACACAATATAATTTCAATAGATTATTATGGAACAATTATGTTCCCTGACTAAATGTACTGAGATGTACCTTTGAGGGTACCACCCCAGTGACAAGAGGGGTACTGCCCCGTGACAGCTTCACTTTTTTCTGAGAGCATAAGTGCTTCTACTAAAGTGTAGATCTGATGTGTACCTAATAAACTGGCTACTGTGTATATTGTCACATAAGTCATAAGTAAAGCTCATACATCTACTACTAGGAAATGTTGAACAGTTATGATAGCAATGAAATATGTAATTTTGGGATAGTTACTATACTAACTATAAACAGGATTACTTATCACTTTCCAGAAAGCTCACTACTTATTAATCACTTACTGTAGCATGTTACTTTGCACCCATGTAACCCACAACAGTGTATATAATATAATCTGTAATGCCTGTTTTTGTCTCTTCAGTTGGAAGCATTTCGGAGGCCGTCGTTCACAGAGTTGCTGGATGAGCTGTCGGAGATCGCTGAGACCTTGGAGCCCCCCCCGCTCACTGAACTAACCACCGGCTGAGCTTCACACCATCTCCACTGTCCCACCAGTCCCACAGAGAACAACCCACAGTTCTGTACATAGACCTGAGCACAGCGTAATAATGACATTGACTGCTCTTTCATATCGGGATCTCTCAGGATGGATGAGCTCTGACTTCAAAGAATGACTCTTCCGTTTGACTTGGATAATATGAGCTGCATAACATACAGAGCTACATCAGGAGACCAAAGGCAATCTCGTTTAAATTTGCAGAGAGAATTTTCCTTTACATTGCTAAGAATACAGTACAGCACAAAATAAGATGCAGATCTCAGATCAGTTTTTTTGCCTTTCAGATCCTAATACTGTTATGCAGATATAGATGGAGGAGTTGCTGCTAAATTGACTTATGTATTTCCAGAATCATTTCATACTTCATGAACAGCATGTTTCATGAACAATACTTTTTCCAGAGTCGCTGTTTTCAAGCCTTAAACAGTCAGATTTGTGACTCAGCAGCACCGATTGTGTCGCACAGATTTATACACATCCAACCAAAAGGATTGTGAACTCTACAGAGATGATAACGATGACGATGGTCTGATAATGATGTAAATTGCTCAGATCTACCAAGATTGAAAGCTTAGATGAATCTGATATTTTTGTATATTTTTGTACATACAGTAATGTACATAAGTATTTTGGTACTAAATCTTCCATATAGCTTTTTTGTATTTTGCTTTTTGAATGTTTCTTGCTTTTTATCACAGGTTAGTTGCAGAGTTAGCTTTCTTGTATGCTAAGAGAAGTCATACAGATGCACAAGGGTGGAAGTGGTCCTTTTGGTTTGCCTTTGAAAAAGTCACAGTGGACGAAGCTGCCTGTTTCCTGAGAGGAACAGCCTCTACATGAACTTGTGTTCACACCAGCATTTGGGGTTTCTAACACGGATAGCAAAGCTTTTCTTGACTTTTGTGTTTTTTTATTTTGTGGAACATCATCTCAACTCTTTGAAATGTATATTCATTTTTCCTCATTATGGTCAAATTACTTATTTGTCAAGTCCCTTTGATAAACAAGGAGCTTCTGATCGACAAGAAAATCAGGTCTTTACATTTTAAGTATTGCACAATAAGGCCACATTCATAAGGACATTTTGGTATTCGTCTAAAATGCATCTCTTGCCATGGATTTTAATGAAAATGATGCATTGACTGGCAACAGACATCAAAGCATAACAGTGATGAAAGACCTTAGTTGTTCATTGAAAAAAAAGGTTCAACAGCATTGGAATTTCCATTAAACATACTGTGATGTAGTCATGCACCAACCAATAGGAGACGGTCTGGGGCAGGCCCTAAGTCAGGTCACACACAGGGCAATATGAAGGAGAACCTATGGGTGCACTCAGACGGCAGAGCATATTCCACTCAAAAAAGTGTTATATCCCATAGCAGAATGTGGAAATTTTCCAATTTAAGCAGATAAGCTTAACCTGTCATTATTCAGGAGGCAACCAATCAAACAAAAGTTTGGGTAAAATTCAATCGTAGAGCACACATGAGGCTGTTCAATTTGACAGTTTTGCTCAGATTTGGATTTCAAAAATATTCAGTTTGAAGAGTACCCCTCGCCTCTGTAGCTTGGTGAGTAGAATATGATATTCTGTCACTTTGCTTGCAGCACTTGCTAATCTTAATGTTCATGTTCACGGGCTGAGTAGGAAGAATAAAACCTTCTGGACTTTTTCTCCACTTTCTTCTCCTCCAAAAAAGAATCCATTTAGTTTGAGGTATGATGTTGAACTTCTCACCCATGAAGATTCACTCTGCTCTTTCTTTGGTTTCCAAAACTTGTCACAGGGTTATTCCTTGCAGTTCAGATGTGGACTTTTTGTGAAATATGCTGTCTTAACGCATCCTAAGTGCCACTGTCAGCTAACATTCAGAGGTGTACAATCAAACTCTAAAGATTTATAGCGACAGCTCATGACAAGCCTTATCCTTCACACAAGACAAGACAAGAGCAACCGGCAGCAGTTTTCACATTTGCAACAGTTTTTGGGCACCAATTATTGATTTAACATTAATTCCTACTGAGTAATTTTTATTAAAAAAAAAGTTAGAGTTATAAAAAGCTGAGACCATTTAATGCACCAAGACTTTCAATCCAGTGCACTTTTATTAAAAATTTGCACAAACAAGGAAAAGAAGAAAAAGTATTGGATTCATTGAGTAGTAAGAGTGACAATATTCTAATTGTTACACTGGGTAACGGCCCGTTCTGCTAAAATCTCACAGAGGATTTCCCAATGTATACATTTTTCAAAAGTGTTTATCATCCCAGCCCCACTTAAACGACTTTCCTACTCACATTATTCCCAGTCACCCAATCATCTCCGCCCAGAAACACACTCACTGTACACAAAGCATTTTTTGACAAATACCAATATATCCAATATGAATGTGGCCTAACAAAACTTGTTCTTGTTCAAAGACATGTTGCCGTGTATTACTGGTGCTACCAAGAAGCTGCTCTGTTTAAAGCTTTGGACTTTCAGTTCATATTCATCCCATATTTTGTCTTTTCTCTACAAATGTACTTTGAAATTAGGTAAATAAAGCAGCCTTTAAATTGTGATGCCGTAAACAGGTTCAGGCATTCAGGAAACCGCTTGATAGGATTGAATTCTGGTGCAGAAGTTTTGTTCATTCACACAGATCCCCAGTTAATACTATTAACACTGAGTTATTAATATTATGTCTTACTGTACAAAGACTGTATGCTGAAGTACATGTGCTATCTGTATATTAGATGCCTTTACTTGAACCCCCAGTAAGTGAATGTATAAATAAGGTAAGGTTGCTACTGGGTCACAACTTTATTTCCAAGATAAAAATAAACTAAAACAAATGTGTCTCTTGTTTAATATAGGTTAATATTTTACAGCCTTCCAAGTTGAAAGTGCTCTTTGGACCAAATGTGCACACACAATCCAAAACATCATGACCACCTCCCTATTATGCTGTTGGTCCTCCGCATGCCGCCAAAACAACTCAAAACTGAAAATTGCGAGGTGATGTTACAGCACATCCCACAAATGCCCAATCAATTTGAGATCTGGAGAATTTGGAGTCCAGGGCAACATGTTGAACTCATCTTGGTCCTCAAACCGTTCCTCAAACCATACCTAAACAAAAAGTGCAGTATGGCAGGCAGAATTATCCTACTTAAAGAGGCCACTACCATCTGGGAATGCCATTGTGATGAAAGGGTGTATCTGGTCCACAACAATGTTTAGGTAGGTGGCACATGTCAAATAGATGTCTACATGAATGCTCAGACCCAGGGTTCCCAGCAGATCATTGCCAGAGCATCACACTCTGTCCACTGGCTTGTCTTCTTCCCACAGTGCATACTGGTGTCATTGCTTCCTCAGGTAAACTGCACAAATGTGTTGGCCATCCATATGATGTGAAAGAAAATGGGATTCATCAGACCAGGCGACCTTCTTCCATTGCTCCAAGAGCCAGTTCCACTACTTAAAAGCCAATTGTAGTCACTTTTGACACTTGTGGACAGGGGTTAGCATGGGCACTCTGACTGATCTGCAGCTTCGCAGCCCCATACACAGCAGGGTGCGATATACTCTGTGTTGTGACACATTCCTCCTGTAGCCGTCATTACAAATTTCTGTCGTTTTGAAGATGCTCCAACTCTCTTGGGAGGATTTGCCCTTGTCAAAGTCACATATACATATTAACTGTGCCAAGGTTTTCAGGTTTTATGAAAGCAGTAAATCACTTGAGGCCTGCTTTTCATTGTGGGAAAAATCACTGTAATGTACTGCCTCTCATGGCTCACTGCTCTACATTACCACAACACGTAGATAAAGACCTATATAAAACCCTCAAAGCACAGTTAAGCCAGAGTCCAGCGTGGTTTAAACAGTTTGTGTATTATCCCCAGTTATAGTGACCTAATATACTTCATAAAATCTGTCCAATTCCATTTGTAAGTCAGTTTATACTTGACTTATGACCTTTCTTTACAATTGGTTCAGTGTCAAATAGGTCAGTGCAAATGCTAAGCAAACCAGAATTAATATGCAACATCATATCTTTTTCACCTGGAACAAGGGAACCAAACTACAAATGCACACACACTCCTAAGAACATGCAAACTCATGAACAGCTGTTTATAAGCTCTTATTGTGTTAAACTGCAGATATGCAGAAGGTTTTCTTTCTGTCTGATCCTGAAAGGTGATGATGATTTTTAACACACGTTTCACATTAGATATACGCCTGGAACCTTCTTAGCTTTCATATCCGGTAACCTGGTAACTTTCTCCATGGCGTGAACACTTGCTCATGCTAATTACATTCTAAACCAGGCTTGTTTTTCTTTGAAGCTTGTGTTACTCGACCACTTGAGGCAAATAAGTGGAATAATCAAGTAGACTGCTGTGAGCTTAATCTCTTACTGATGCACTAGGCTATTGAATTTCATAAGAACCCTGATGCATTTATAATGCAGGCCCTGAACTATCCTCATTAAGTTTGTACAAGAAGATCAGACATTACTCATGAGGCATTCACTTCATAAGATATTATGGAAATTGGTATCACACCTGTTGGCAACATTCATACAATGTATCTACACAGTATATTACCACCATAGAAATCTTATTCAGACTTCCATCTGACCTTGGTATTGTCTGTTTTGTATACTGGCCTTAGAACAGTCTTTGTGCATCATAGAATAGCCAGGTCCTAACCTGAACCAGTAGTTACTGGTCCTAAATTAGCATTAAAAAGGGCCTACATCCTACGTTCTTCTTGTTATATTTTCTCCCTGAAGTCGACATTTCTATGGCTTTATCTATGAAAAAACAATGATAGTTCAAATGATTCACTTTAGAATGTGGCTGGTCCTACATTAGCATTAAAAGAGCCCTTCAAGTCTACTTATACATTTGGTGTGCCAAAAACAGCATAATTAATTTTTACATTAGCATTTTACAACCTCTATTTATCATGTAGAGTTAGACAGGCTGTTACCACGCCTGTAAGACTAAAGCAGTTGTATGCAAAAGTCTGAAAACCCCCAGTCAAGTTTAGCATACTGGAAAAAAATAAAATATAAAATGTAGCATAACTTTTACACAGGCCACATTTATGTTGAATGTTTCTTTCCCTATATGTTAAGTTTAGCAAAGAAATAGTAATTTTGCATTAAAATGTGCGGAAGTGTGTTCTCTGTAGGGGATACTTATTGTTACTTAGAAAATCAGTAAAGCTTGTAATTTGACCAAGACCATCTAGCCTTTTTCACACGACTGTATATGTATGTGAATGACGTGCTACCCTGTATCGTGGCTCAATCAAAAAGGAGCTGAAACACTGCTTTTAAACTTAACATGGGTGGTCGATGCTATAGTTTTTTGTGACATCACAAAAACAATGGCTTCAAAGCAGGCTGTTTTCGCAGCCTAGTTTTCATATATGGACTGGAAAGAGAACAGTATGTTTTGAAACTTTATCAATGTTTATATACAACATCAAACTAAAAACAGTGGATAAAGTTTTCCGTTTTTCCATTATATGGGCCCTTTAAAAAAGAGAACAAACCTGCTCCCAAAGTTCTCTCATGCCTGTCGTCTTGGTTCCCACCCGATATCTTGCTAGGAAAGAACACCGAAGAGTTAAGAAGATCATAAAAGACTCTGCAGGTTGATT